CACACACACACACACTCAGGCCCTCTTCATGTTTTGCACACCTTACACAAAAGCTAGAAAGTATATTACAAATTTCTGCGGAATCTACTGAGTTGCTGTGGGCACATGAACTATTCCTTTCAAAGCTGTGACTGAGGCCAAATGTGGAAGCATTTGTTACTCAAGCTTGAATGGGCCCACTATCCAGTGAAAAACTAGGGCAAGGACCAAGACTCGGTGGAGACAACTAACCCATGACAACATGGCGAGGCAGACAAGCATCTCGCACAGCAACGACGGCTCTCTTTAACTCTGAAGGCAATAAGCGGAGATTAGAGATATCAATTAAACTAAAACCCTCTCAGATGGAAAAAACCAGAAGAGAGGGATTTCACCTAAACCCACGAGATTAACTCTCCCGTCATCTGCTGAGAGGGGTGGATGAGCGACCGACCAGACACAAATGTAAACACAAGGGGTGAGGGAGCAGCCAGTGGGTGACCACATCGGGCAAAAATAGCTTGGCGGCAGGGAGAGAAGAAATGATGCAGACGGGTTTAAAAACAGGCAAAACAAGGCTACTTTTGTAAAAGCTGCGATTATAAAATGTGGTTGAATCTGGAGCTGAGAGGTTTCTTTCACTGTAATAAGGCTGATGGTTTAGGAAGTGGCTCTGCCAAGAATGGACTATGTGCTGACACTGCCACGTCGTACGTACATCATCATGGAAAGGGTGTGTGTGTGTAAGAAACTCAAGAAATTATTGGCTTGTTCTTCAAAATACCCAGCAATGCCTCAGCTCAGATGTGACAGTGAAGTGCAACAATCCTCTGAAACAACAGCAGACCTTCCATGGCCTTTTAGCACTCTCAAGTACGTCCTTCACACATATCGGTACTCACCACTTCGTCTGAGGTAAAGTCGATGAAGCCCGGTAAAATCAGGAAATCACTGAAAAACATAAACAAAATGCAAAGAATGCAACTTAGGAGAGCTGCCAGGTTTAAAGCATTCACACATACACTGCATTAAAAACACCAGGCACTGTTCCTCGTGTTTAAACCAACATGAATTACCAATATTTGTAATAAATTCTCTCCAAGCAAAGCAGAAGAGTGAAAATGTTTCCTACATTATGAAAAGCTCAAAGTAAACAAAAGGCAATTAATCGTGGGCACTAGTAAACAAGATCGTGTTTTAAAAGAATAACTGGGTAAAAGCAGATGGGATCACATCAATAGCAGAAAAACTTCAATGAACCTTTCAATTAAATATTTATTAGACATTTATTTAGTCTGTCTAGTCTGATCTTTCTACTCATTTCCTTCTGTTAAACATTTCGACAAAGGACAACGTCACAGCCTGCAACCTCTTGTTGGATACTCTTTTATGTCTCTTAATGTTTCCAGGAATATTTCCAAGTGCTACAGTGGCTGAGTACAGACACCGAGAGCAGCTGGGTGCGTCCCGTACTTGGTAAAAAAAAAAAAGCTACAGTTGACCTCTATTCAGCTCTTGGCCTGTATAAACACAATGAAGAGGTAGAAGTAGGCGTCAGGCGAGCAAGAGCTAGACACAGGAATGGTGTGTTTGTTTTTAAACCCGAAATCTGTATGTATTTTGTGGCTTTTGCTTATGGGTGTGAAAACAGGCAGGGAACAGACGGAGGAATAAGGGAACCATTGTGCGTCTTGTGGATGGAGGAAAGTGGAGCGGAAAGCAACGCGCAAGAGTGTGTGAAACAGGTGAGCAACACAGGTGGGAATAACAGTCTAAATAAGAATGGGAGCTGAGACAGAAGGTAGAGGGCTGACCCGCTAACAGACCGCTGCTGCCGGCGTGGGTGGGGGAAATGGAAGAGTCTGAAATAGTCCCACTGGATGGGACAGTTCAAGGGAGGAGTCCTGCTTGTTTTTCCCCTCTTCACTTTAGAGTCCAAACTCCCACCATCATCAATGTTGGTACGAACAGAAAGCCCGGCAGACATCTGCTAGCATTCAACAGCAGCCACAAACCTCAGCTCCAGCACACAGGCTGCACCTAGTGACGGTCAGCGCTGCAGAGCTCATTACGTTGGCTTTGAATTGTAAAGAAAACACTGGCTTGGTGATGGCTTATTATGGTTTTCATTTGAATGTTAAATGTAGACAAATGCATGATGCTAAGCAGGAGTGTTTCAAAGTACAACCAAACTGCTTCCCCCTGCTTTTACAGATGCCCATCGTTGTCCTTGCTCGGGCATATAAAAAAAACAAAAAAAAAACGTACATCATAGTATTCCCACATCCAAAAAACATCATCCCTCTGAGGGGCATGGCACCCAGCCTTTTGTAAATGTAGCAGCAAGTTTAACAGGGTGAATGTCAATGAGTGACATCTGTATGCATGACTCACTTTATTTATTCTGAACGGAAAGTGACACAGACAGAAGACTATTATTACACTGCAGCAGTTGACATCAGGGTTTTATTTGCTACGGTAGCTCTGTCGTAAGTGCAACAACGAGCAGAAATGTACGCTCTTATTCCAGCCATCTGTGGTTTACATTCAATTATTATTTAACAGGCTTTGGGTTTGCCAAGTAACTCACCCTGTAAAAAGATAGTTTTAAGTTTTATGGTCATTAAATGGTACAGTCTGTGTTTGCTGAGAAGGCGGCACAAGGGACGCTTTTAACCTTGATTACTTTTGGAGATATTTTACAGTGTCTGTGTTTGAAATACAGTTCAACACTATATTGTACTGCCTCATAATGTGGAGTTAACAGCTATGAAACCTTATCATTCACCCAACTCTGTCTATAGTCAGACAAAAACACTTTTACACCTTCACTTTCTAGCGCATTCCAGTGAGTGTTGACAGAAATATGGAGATCAAAAGTAGATTTAATTACAGTAATAGTGTTAGCAATTACACCCAGGGCATGATTTGTGCAGCTGGTTGAAGGTCACAATACTGCAGGAAGCGGTTTTTCTCTCACAAAAAGGTGTTTTCTGTCTTCCCGTGTCTGTATCTCACTCTACGTGGGTGAATTACTTTCTTTTTCCTCCAGCTAAAATATAAAAAGAAACTGAAATGACTGTGTTTTTTAGATTTAGTACCTGCCAAGTGCATTGGTAGGAGTGAATAAGTGTAAATAATGAAACAGTTGATAATAAAATCTAGCTTTAGAAGTAGAAACCTTAACACTATTATGTTGAGTAATAAGGGGTTGAGAAGGAGGCTTGACAAGAGTGATGCACACTCTTTCACCATCAAACCAACTCCTCCTGCAATTCACATGATGCCATCACGTGGGAAAACTTTCCTTTGGTCGTGATGCACTTAATTACAGTGTGGAGAGGTTATTCAATCACACGCGGACACCATTACGGTTTCTATTCAATTAGCTTCTTGAGGAGTTCGACATTTAGAGTAAATAACTGGTGGATTTGCAGCCAATAAAACCTTCCAAGTAAGCTTGAATTGCTTCAATCGAAATGTAGTTTTGTCATGCAGACGATGATGTAGTATAGACAATTATAGACATTAACTAATGGTCTTTCAGGGAACGCTGAGAGGGGATTTTAAGCATTGATTTTAGTGGTTGTTAGGACCTGAGGCAAAGAGGTAAAGCACTGTGATGAATTTAGAAGAGCGTTTTAGAAGATAAAATGGCATGCTCCTCAGTGTCCAACAACCACTGCAACTGAGTTGCACAGAGCTTTGCTTCATGTTATTTATGATTACGAAAATAAGACAGTGATTAGATGGATTAGTAAAGAAAATAATTTCAGTCAAAATGCATGATGTGTTCAATTACGAAGCATTTGTCACCAGAATGCTTACCAGAGATGCGGGAGGTTAAGAAAGAGGTGAAGAATTAGTGCTCAGTTAGTCATTTTATCACAGCAAAGTATTTGTCAGAAAGGGCATGAGCTGTCCTGTAATGAATGCTGCATTCACAGGACAGGTCGTGCACTTTGATGATTAGTTGAAGTTAATAATGCAGTTATGTCTGCAGGAAGCAAATTTGAACCCCATGACCAAGATCAGGTTGAGCATTCCAACAAGCCGTTCATTTACCTCCTGCACTTTCATGATATCAGATTGAGATTTTGGCATGGTTGGTTTCAGCTGAAGTAAAGTTGCTTTAATCATTTGCTTCCCCCTCATGAATTCACTATTTGGAGAGACAGAGGATTCGTAATAGCACAGTTTCAAAACAGTTTGAATAGGACTGTTTTACTCACTTGTAAGTCAACCCATCTCCTTTAGAGCATAGCTCTTCAGCCGTATGACCATCGGAGACAACGCACTGTTGGTCAGATCTGCTGATTCAAAATGTGTCCATTACAAAGCACTGCTACGTACACTTGACCCATTATTGCGCGCAGGTGAGGTTTTAAAATTAGGAGACCTTACTTTGAATTCATTTCATTACTTTACGAAGATTTTCAGAAAACAAATCAAAGTTCATTACGTGACTTACTTGTATGTGAGGCCATCTCCAATCGAGAAGAGCTGCTGAGCTGAGAGTCCATCTTCAGGGACGTAGCCTGTGCCACCGCTGATTAAGTAATCCGCCATGCTGCCAAAAGACAAGGACAGGCAACTTCAATCGACTGTGCATCCCGAGAAACAGACACAGATGTTTACCTCAGCACAATGATGCTCTGCAATCACACTACACATCCACTTTAGTGACCTTCTCCCAGGAAGACATAACCATAGCAACATCAACATTTTCCCCACTGGCAGGTCAGTGCGCCTGCGCGGCAGGTGCACGATGCAATCGTTTCATCTGCTTGCACAATCCATCCATTAATAACGCAATAATAAGCCTTGCAACAACACTGCACACATTTAATAAGAGCTTTTACGACCCCTGCATCGACGTTACAGCAGGTAAATCTAGCGTTAATAGACATTAGATAACACAATACGTGTACGTCGCTGCAAGAAACCCTGTGGTTTTGTTCTGGGAGAGAGAAACGGAGCAGATTTTCTGTCTCTGCACTCAAATATTAAGACAGTTCGCGTTTAAAAACACAAACCGAGCGACAGTGCAGCAGCAGAATATGGCCGAGTGACCCACTAACATTTAACTGAACCATTAAAACTTTCCATTTTAAAAACCATAAATACATATCGATACAATGTGAACGAATAGTCATCGATACGCTGTCCTCAATATGTCTTATCATCTCTACGGTGGAGTGGTTCAGTCCGATTACTGGCCCGGTGACCTACATTACATTATCAGTCGCTACTAGCTAGCAAAACATGATTTGCTTGGAGGAATACAGTGGATAAATTAACAAAAGAAGTTGAGATTTTATGATAGTAACTTATATTTTTGAGTGTTTAATATATGCCGAATATTAGAGTGGCTCCTTTTACACACTATATGATCTGAAAAAAATTTTCTACAGCATGCAACGCCTTTAGAGACCAAAGGCAACACTATTTTGACAGAGTTTTAAAGCGAGTTTGGTGTCGCCTCAGGCGTAGGTCGGGCTTAATGCCAACAACACCCATGTGCCTGCAGGTCGGTATAACTGTATCTAACATTGTCAGGAACGGTGATGTCAGGTGATGCACACCAAGTAAACCAGCAATGCTAGAGTTCAAGTTAAATTAAATAAACACGTTTCTAATTTACAACTAGGTTAGTTTAACTATTAGCGTTAAACGAGACTAGGTTAAGAAAAGCTGTATTGTTGGCAAACCGTTACCAACCAGCTAGCCAATATGTCTGGTACTTAACAAGCATCCAGTGATGTTAAATGATACATTAACAGGCGAGTTAGGTGAAACACTACGTAAAGCATTAGTCAATGTTTTCTCAAGCACAGACATAACCCAGTTTACACGCTTTGCCTCATTTTAAATCGTCACTCGTGTCTCCATAGCGATGGCTTAAAGATGCATGATGCAGCTAATGGCACGATGCAATTCAACGATAACGCATCAAAATGTACACTAGCATAAACAAGAAGGTGAAGCAGCCTACCCCCGACTGCAGGCCGTGTCAATACCCCTCTAAAACAGAGCTCAGCTACATGAAACTGAACTTTTTTTATTTATTTTTTTAGCAAACCAGACATGAGCTGTGTTCAGACATGTGGGGAGCCCCCGTTAGCATTTAGCATTAGCGGCTTGCTGATTTTGCCTTGACATACGGAAAACGCTCGCAACGCTTTACAGCAAGATACAGCACCCTGAAAGCGACAACAGAGTGTTTTGAGCTATGTTAGCTCTCCAGCTACCCTTAAACTCAAAACATATCTCCCTCCCTCCTTCCCTCAGACAGAGCAACGCTAGCTAGCTACCTCATTGAGCTGATGCCCACGTTGACCAAAGGGAAGCAACTTTCCAGCTGTGACTCTACAAGTCAGGCTCTTTTTAAGGGAGAAAAAGAAAACAAAGCGATGCACAGTAATTCCTTCTACCTCGATGAATGCACTGCTCGTCCGTGGCTCCGAGATGTAAAAGTAGGGGCTCAGCAGTAAAGTGAATCACAAGTGATTGCCTGTCGCAGCAGACAGTGCGTGTTGCTGTTATGTACTAGCAGCGGCGGCGTCACATCCCCTCTCCTCACAGAGGCGTGTTTAACCCTCCGCTTGTTGCTGCTGCTGCTGTGAAATCAGGATCAATGGGGGAACCAAAGGGGTTAATTGTGCAGGAGTAGTTCACGTGGAAGTGTCACTATTGAAATGTTGGCAGACCGGTTTATCAGAGCCACCAGTTCATTACAACGCAGTGTCAATAGGTCATGCGTAGTGCACCAGCTGGGTATATTAACAGTTAAAAGGACTCTCATAGTTTATTTTAGCGTTGTGTCAATTTAGTAATCCCTTAGTATGTGTACTTGATTGGTTCTAAATGCTTCCTTATCCTTCCACTATATTTAAAATGTAAATATGGTGCATGCATTGTCACATATATAACTTTAATTATTATCATTAACAGTACATGCATGTGTAGTTAGAATAAGTCCACCAAAATGCTGTTTACGTGTTAATAATAGTCTGATATTATAATGTATAACACTGACTGGGGTCATATTACTTTATATACTTAAAGTACATTCTGTTGTTAATACTTAGGTACTTTGACTTGAGTAACATTTTAAATGCAAAACTTTTATACTGTGGTGTTGCTAATTTTAGTTAACCACTAACCACTTTCCTTAATCACTGTGCTTTAGTCAGTAGTTCTGTAAAGACAAATACTTAAAGTAAAAAGTGTGAGAGAGATCCGATTTTATTTTTTTTAAATTATTTGTATGTACTATAAGACATTCTCATGTGTTTTTTGTTGAACATATCCGATGGTGCGGACACATTATTGCCAGAGTTAGGTGCATGTACAGGGTTGAATGGTTATCCGTGACAGTACATGTGCATGACTTCTAAGACTTTGCAGTATGAAATCACACCATCAGAACACAATGCCTATAGGTGAATTGATTGCCTACCCAAAATCAAATCTTCCATGCCTTAATTTTCCTTAACTTACAGAAACGTTATGCTGAATTTAAGCAGTGCTGTCTCAATTGTGGTCACATGTAAATCATCCAAACTGGATTAAGTGTGCTGAAAAGACAGCACCAACCTCATTTCTATTCACATGATCAATTGCAAGAACTGCGGAGCCACATATAAAAGACCGTAGCTCAGGCTGACTTAATGAAAATACTAGCTTCTCACATGTCATTCATTATTGTTATTTAAAGTAATATAAAATCTTGATGTGGATCAAATTCTGTCTCTTTTTTGTTCTTAAGTAGATAAAACTACTGTTACTACTGTTGATGTTGTTTACAGGGAAACTAGAGCAGACAAAGCAGTTCTATTTTAGGCTTTACCAAGAATACATAGGGTCACTGAGGAGAATAATAACGGTTAAAATTAGAACACATCTTCTCAAAACTTATTTCATTAGTTACCGTGAAATCTAATATGTTTTATTTATCGTCTTTTAAGAATAATACAAAACTACACAATCATGCTTACAGTAAATAAATATTGACACTGACTTTGCTTTCTGAATAAAACTGCGCACACACACACAGACACTGTCTCTTTTCAGCATTGCAGAGCGCACACGTGCACACTTGCAATACTTGACAGAATGTCATCGTGCTGCTCTTGTCATCGAGTTGTCAGCGGCACCAACAGATGTCATGACAGACAATCGCCGTTGCTTTCTCAACTAAAAATATGAGTCAGGATCTTTTATCACCTCTTTTACAGCTTCATGGAGCAGAAGATCAGAATACAATCTTTCACTACCAATAAAGGTTTAGTCATATATGCTGCCAAAAAAGGAGGGAGAAATTTGTCCTTTTAACCACATCAAGAGCTATTTTTACTTTAATTTCCGGCAACTAAGTCCACTAGTCTTCTTCCACAAGTGCAATCACCTTAAATCATCTTGCATAATCTCTTGAATTTGTAACAGGGCTGTTGAAAACAACTGCATATCCCTCAGTCAGAGGTTAGGGATTATGATTCAGAGTTGGGGTTTACCATCACTTTCAATATGTCAGCCACATTTTGACATAAGAGCATGTTTGTTTAAGTTGAACCTGCAGCGTTTTGTCTTTGTTTGTGTAACCTTAGTACTAGTCATGGGGGTGGCATTTCCGGTCATATTGTAGTATGAGTTGTACAGTATATCAGTTATTTCTTGCAGAGATTACATTACAGTTCAGATATTGAATTCAATAGAGAATCATGTGGTCTTCCCTGTAACCCAATATGCTTCACATTCCTCTCTACTTCTATATTAATCTTAGGTTCCTAGATGTGTCTGCCAAGGTGACTCAGGGGGATCTGTTTTCCCACTCTGTGTTTGTGTCAAATTAAATGTGGGTCATTGCAGATAGGGGTCAGTGGTTCCTTTATTCACTGTAGCTATTCTGAGCAGTTGATTCAGCCTTGTTTATCCTCCCTGCAGCATGCTCGCTCCTGCCTTGATGTTTCATCACAGAATTGTCGGTGCGCACACAAGGGGCAGAGGGCCACGTTAAAAATAGCACCTGACAACTTAAGATGAGCCTTTTTCTTTTGTTTGTTTTAGCATCTGCTCATAAGCCAAAAGTATTATATACAGGGCCTTCAAACAACTCAAAAGTTAAGTGTATCATCCAGAGCAAGGGATTTACTTACCTAAAAGGCATTTGCAAACTGATCTAAATGCAAGTGTGTGTGGAAGTGTAAACTGACCCGACGGCATGAAGGTAATTTACATGCATGGCCTTTTGAATGCACAGCCAGTGAAAGCTAGAGGGCTGACATCACATTGTCATTTTATTTCACACTGGATATTGGCTCTGAGGCTTTAAATTATTGTGGCATTCTTCTATTAATGCAGAGTAAATTTTTACTCTTGCTTTTGCACCTGAACATGTATAATTGTAGGACCAAGACTGATCCTATATCTTTAAACTCTGGAAAATGTTTGACCTTTTAATAAATTTTTTGTAGGACTCTCACACTTGCTGGTAGGAAATTAATTTTACAGCAGACAAATAGCTACAAAATCCATTTCTGACACATTCTGTGAAGATAATAAACCAGACGTATTTTAACCTCACTACTGCTTGAGGTATACCTAAAGGTGGTTCATTCTCCATATAATTTACCAGCAACTCACCTCTCTGGGCCTAAACCGGCCTGGATGCGTGTTGCACTGTATCTCTGGGCTGCAGTTTCATGTCCATGGGAGGTTTGCCGGACATAATGTTCACCTTCCCGAGGCGAAACATTGGTACGCGGGGGCTGAGTGTCTCCAACAATTCTCCGATAATCCACCTGCTGGCTCTCCCTCGCTCCATCTGCACCAAAGTGTTCATACCCATACCCCTCCATCGTCCACCCAAGGTCAGTCTCTGAATCCAGTGGCCGTTTCGCCTTGCTGGGCAGCTTTTCAACAGTTGCTTGCTTTTAAACAGAATTCCCAAAGTAAGTAAAAACATCCAACAGCTGAAGATTACATTTGGGTCAAAGCAGAAGGCTCCTCGTAACACTGAATTTGTATGAACTTCATAACCCAAGTTTGGTTAAAGTTAAGGAGGTTGATTTTTTAAACAAATGCCAACTCAGAATTTGTTTATGAATTCCAGTGTCCAGCTGCCTTCCAGACTAGATATGGAGCTACATAGGTGTTCCCACAGAGAGAAAGACGGAAGAAAAAAAAAAAAAGAGACCAGTGTCAGGCTACTCCGTCTGCCCCTGCACAGGATGCACCTGCCTACAAAAAGGCACCAGCCACCTCTAGGCGTGTCAATAGAGGGCGTCACCTAGGAGATTCTCCCACTGAGAGGGTGTCGCCGTGGAAATGATGCCAGCAGCAGAGCGTTGTTGTGGAGAGGCTGTTGTGCTGATGCCTTTCGAAATGTTGAAGGAGATTTTTCTGTCATGAACGGCAGAGGGTAATGGAAAGGCTAGATGCAGCCCTGTACTGTACTTATATGTAGGCTAGAGTAGTTATTGCCCTAAGCATTTCTCTACAAGTTGAATGGAGTGAGTGGCACTGTCCTGCTGAGTGCTCCCTATGTCTTGCTCCCCCTCTATGTATGGGTTAATCCTGCCCTCCATCAGTGGCACCACAGTGCTTTCACAAAGAGGATTTCAGAATTAGAATGAACAGCACTAGAGATGAGCTCCGCAAAGAGAGCAGCCCATTTTTACAGCAAGATCATCACTATGTTGTGTTATTTGTATTGGTCTCAGTGGGGCATATACTAAAACAAAATATATACAGCAAACATAGCATTTCTGGAAAAAAAAAGTATGCAGACCATAATTGAGCAAAACTGGGGCCAAACAAAGCAATTCCCTGTTAACAAAAGCAATTGTCTGACCACTGCACTTCCTAAAAAAGTCAGAGGCTGAGGTTAAACCCATAATCTAACACAACATCTGCTTTACCTTGACACTGATCAGTGAAGCTTGCACCAAAGTGTCAAGAATGTTACATAATCGCTCTTAGTGAAAGGATATTTCAAAAGAATGCCCCGTGGTCTGCAAGCATGTTTTTACACCACCCTTTTCAGATTGGTTCTTTATGGCACCAGCGTGCAAATCCATGCCTTTCGGGGGACGTATGTAAGGACAGTGTACAGTATGCAATGTACTGAATTTTGTTTTTGTGTGAAACAGTATAAATCAGTGGAAAGGATTTCCCCTCCACGCATATACCCATGTGGGCCGTTACTCTCCTCAAAGGGATCACCTCCAGGTGACTGACTGTTTGTGACAGTTGGTGAGACGTTAAGATGGAAAATCCTCTTAGCCGGTCCTCCGAGGCTCTACTATGTTCCCCACTTGCAACTCATCGTTAACACATGGTAACAGAAAACCCCTCACCCACACAACACAGATAAAACAGATTGTCTTTTAGTACTAAGGATACATTTTGAAAATACACATTTGTAATCTGAATGGACTGGCAAGATGAGTGTAGACCACTGCTGCTGTAATGTCGTAAAAATCAAGTATCTATGGCATTATATGGTGTCTCGTGCAAAAACTCTTAATTTCACATGCGCATGTCGTCAGGTCGTGCACAGTTCTTCCTCTCATTCAATTACATTTACCATAATGAACGTCATGTGCACAGTGTGGATACTCATTGACTGGCTGAGACAAATCAGAGTCATAAGGTTTAACACAAGGGTAACTATCGCAACAAAAGGGTACTCCTTGTGTGTGTGTGTGTGTGTGAGTGTAAATGACTGGCCACTGAAGATATCATCTATCGGATGATCTTGTAATTAATTTCATGTCACACTACTTTGACACACAGGCCCCCTTAAGCAATACACTAGAAGTGCAACTAAGCGACTGAAGTGAATGTGTCTCCTTTTCTCTCATTATATTCTGTAAGTAATCACAATTTCACTTTCTAAAGTGAAAGTGAAATTGTGTTCAGCTGTTATCAGTTTTATTTTACTGTAATTGCTGCAGTCTTTTTAAAATAAAAGATAAGTGCCTGCTGCTTTTAGAAATATATACTTTTTTTTTATTCTTTTCATAAATGGAAAAAGTGATGATTCAAGTCATTTTCACTAATTTTTATATTCAAAGGACTTTACAATATACAACAACATACGGCATCTTCCATCCAAAAGGACAGAAGTACAAGAAGTAGAATTTTACAGTATGTGGAGAAACAGTAACAATATTTAAGTAAAACACCACCCATTTAACACATCAAGATTTAGTTGTTAAAGTACTATGCAGCCTGTGAAAAAAAGTTGTATGATGTGTTCTGTGGCTGTGGTGGGAGCTTTCTTAGGTCAGAAAAAAAGTAAAAGGACAGCCTGAGTTCAAAGCAAAAAAAAAAAAAAACCCTGTGCGCTGTGTAAACCCTGTCACAGGCATTCACCATTACACACTACATATTATATATGGCAGCTTCATTACCTTCCCAGAGACCAACCAGTACCCCAGTGCTTGTGGTAATTGGATTCAACTCAATATACATAAACTAAAAATACCTAAACTAAAATCATACATTTCTCGAAACTAGATTTTGAGCCTATTGATGCAATAAGCAATACAGGCGTTTCCTTTGTTGCTATTTTCCTCAGCAGTGCAATTAATCAAATTACCATAACCCAGTAACATGCAGTGAAGCTGAGCCCACTTTGCCTGTGGTATTCCAGCCTTGGTTACAAACCGGGGATGAGGACTTGTGTTTAACGGGAGAGGAGAATGTAATGAAGCAACGCTGTCCAGTTGCATTAGGATCCAGTGTTAGATTCTAATGCAACAGGAAGTGTCTGCTGGAGTAGTAAC